GAACAGAGCTGGAAAATGGAGGCAGCAATTCTGATTCCCAGGATGCTCTCCCATCTCATCACATCCCTCAAGAACCACCCAAGAATTCAGATCTCTTTCCATAGCAGGGTGCTCATTTCCTGCCTGCTAGTCACAGGTAGAGAAGCTCTCCTTCACAGCCCCTGAGCTGTAGGTGGGTTGCCAAAACTGCTTTAAGAATATGCTCACTGGGAAAGCACCATGGAGAAAAGAAAAGGAAGAGGCAGAATGACCGCTTCCTTGAACCACACAGCCAAGCTGCTGGGTAGAACGGTTGCTGACTTCGCATGGTCTAAAGTTTCGTTTTAACTTTTTATATTGGGATTTCTCAAATTCAGTTTAAAAAAAGGAAAAACAAGAAGGGGAAATTGCATAATCGACATGACTTATCGGCTAAGATCTCTGAACTCCCTGTAGAATTAAGACCCTGGTGCCCTTTGGCATGTCAACCCTAGGATCTGACCCCCATCTCCTCTGAGGCCCCACAACATTCCTTTCTTCTGGTTCATGGCAGGACCCTAGAACCCCACTTCTTTTCTGTTTCTGGGACACTCCTTTCTTTCTTCATCTATAGCACAGGCATTCCCGGAGGCCTGTCCCTACCACATAGCTTTGTTTGGAAGCAATTTTAGGGAGAACTTGTGCAAGAGACCAAGAACCACACTTGGAGTCCCTTCCTAGCTTGTTTTAGATACAGCGCTCATCTTATTTGACTATTCTATAATAGCTAGCTTATTGAACACTTACCATATGTCATTCACTCTGCAAAGTAAGTTTTTGGTGTCAGATGATTTAATATTCTCGGTAATCTTGATTTCCACATAAGAAAAACAAAGAATAGGTGAGGAATTTAAACTATAAAGAACTTAGATTACTTGAGTCTTCTCTGACACAGATATTAGCTAGCAATCCTAGTATCCAAATCCAGATTGTAACTACCATGTTACTCTGCCTCTCCTAAGACTGACAGTTGAGAACACTGCCCTGCCAGTTCCTGTCATCCTCGCCTCCCTGGTCTCTGACTGGATCCTTTGCATATAATCATAGACAAATTGAGTTACAGAAGAGCTTAAGTATTATTTAACCCAGGAATAGAAATTGTGTTACATAGGAAGTATCACTTCCCATTGCTGTACCCATGGCAGACATCAATAATCAATCATGACTTTATATTCAGTAACCCAAATTAAAGACTTGCTGTTGGTTGGGTTGGGTTGGTTGGTTGGTTGGTTGGTTTTTCCAACAAAACTTACTGGTTATCCACCATAAATCTATCAAGCTAATACATGACTGAAAACTATTTCCCATCCTTGGACTTGTCAAAACCCCAGACTTTATAGATGTGGACAATGAATCTCAGAGTCAAAGTTTGTCCATGGTCACATTAACCAAGTCATTGGCTAGTTATGGGCTAAATCAGGATTAAACTCAGGATATGACACTTAATTCCCTTCATTTTATTAAACCTTTTTGATTCCCAAAAACTATGATTTTCACTACTCTTTCTGTCATCCGTGCATTGATGTACTTTCCATATTAAGGCAGCTCAGAGGAGAAATCAACGAGGTCTTGAGGGTATTTTGTTAAGGCAGTGACTTTATTTCCAAATGAAAAATATATGCAAACTTGACTGTTAGCCAACACAGCCCCACAGGGTTCAGTGCTACATGGTACACCTGGCAGGGAGACTGTCCCCAAAGTGATAAAAAAGCTGCCATCCTGGAAGAACCAGTGGAAAACTACAGACCAATTTCATGAACGTAGATGCAAAAGTCCTCCACAAAGTACTAGCAAATAGAATTCAATAATGTGTGAAAAGAATTATACAACACAACCAAGTGGGATTTATTCCAAGTACACAAGACTGCTTCAATATTTGAAAGTCAATTTATATAATCCATATCATCAACAGACTAAGGAAGAAAAAGAGTCCTATGATGATATCAATATGATGATACCAATAGAAAGCATTTGACAAAATCCAACATCCATTCATGAAAAAACTTTCAGCAAACAAGGTAATAGAGAGGTACTTCCACAACTTGATAAAGAACATCTACAAAAGGCCTACAGCTGACATCACACTTGTTGATGCTTAAACACTGAAATGACGTTCTTATCATGAACAAATGCTTTTCCTCTAAGACTGGGAACAAGGCAAGGATATTCCCTCTAGCCACCCTTAATCAGCATCATACTAGAAGTCCTAGCTAATGTGATAAGACATGACAAGGAAATAAAAAGATATACAGATTGAGAAGAAAGAAATAAAACTGCCTTTGTTTGTAGAAAACATAATTGTCCATGTAGAAAAGGAATCACACACACACACACACACACACACACACACACACTCACTCACTCACACACACATACACACAACTCTCCTGCAACTAAAAAGCAATTATAGCAAGGTTTCAGGCTACAAAGTTAATATTTAAAACTCAATTACTTCTCTATATACCAACAATGAACAATTGCAATTTGAAATTAATAATGCGATACTATTTATATAAGCACCAAAAAAATGAAGTACTTAGGAATGAATCTAAGAAAAATATGTTCAATATCAACATGTAGAAGACCAAAACTCTAATGAAAGATTAAAGAACTAAATAAATAGAGAGATATACTGTGTTCATGGATTGAAAGAATCAATATTGAAGCAGCAAAGGCAATTCAATAGAAAAGGAAGGCTTTTCAACAAATGGTTCTGGACATCTACAAAAAAAAAAAGAAGAAGAATCTACATACAGATCTTACACTTTTCACAAAAATTAACTCAAAATGGATCATACGCTTAAATGTAAAATTCAAATCTATGAAACTTCTAGAAAATAACATAGAAGAAACTTTGGGTTTCGTGATGACTTCATGGATACAACATGAAAAGCCTGATCCATGAAATTAGTAATTGATAAGTTAGACTTCATTACAATGAAAAACTACTGTGTGAAAGACACCATTAAAAGAGTGAGAAGACAGGCCACAGACTGGAAGAGAATCTTTGTGAAACACATATCCATTAAAGGACTTGTGTCCAAAATACACAAAGAACCCTTAAAACTGGGGCCCCTGGGTGGCTCAGTCATTAAGCGTCTGCCTTCGGCTCAGGTTATGGTCCCAAGGTCCTGGGATCGAGCCCCGCATCGGGCTCCCTGCTCGGCGGGAAGCCTGCTTCTCCCTCTCCCACTCGCCCTGCTTGTGTTCCCTCTCTCGCTGTGTCTCTCTCTGTCAAATAAATAAAATCTTAAAAAAAAAAACCTTAAAACTCAACAATAAGAAAACAAACAACCCGATTTAAAAATAGGTGAATGATCTCACTAGGGCACCTCCCCAAAGAAGATATGCAAAATGAAAAACTAGCATATGAAAATATATTCAACATCCTATGTCATCAAGGAATTGCAAATTAAAACACTAAGATACCGGGGCACCTGGGTGGCTCGGTCATTAAGCCTCTGCCTTCAGCTCAGGTCATGATCCCAGGGTCCTGGGATTGAGCCCCGCATCTGGCTCCCTGCTCAGCCAGGAGCCTGCTTCTCCCTCTCCCACTACCCCGGCTTGTGTTCCCTCTCTAGCTGTCTCTGTGTCAAATAAATAAATAAAACCTTAAAAAAAAAAAAAACACTAAGATACTGCTACCCACCCAGTAGAGTGGCTAAAATCCAAAATACTGACAATAGCAAATGCTGATGAAGATGTAGAACAATAGGAACTCTCATTCATTGTGGATGGGAATGCACAAGGGTACAGGCACTTTGAAAGACCCTTTGGCAGCTTCTTATAAAGTCTTACCATATGATCTAGCAGTCACACTCCCAAATGAGTTAAAAATTGATATCAACACAAAAGGCTGCATAAAAGCATTTATAGCAGCTTTATTCAGAATTGCCCCAAGCTGGAAACAATCAAGATGTCCCTCAATAGATGAATGGATGAACAACCATATATACATACAATGGAATATTATTCAGCAGTAAAAAGAAATGAGCTACCAAACCATGAAAAGACACAAAGAACCTTAAATGCATATTTTTAAGTGAAAGCAGCCAATTTGAAAAGGCTACATACTGTATGATTCCAACTACATGACATTCTGGAAGCGTAATCGTAGTAAAAAGATTTGAGGGGAGGAGCACAGGAGAGCTTCAGGGCAGTGTAATTTCTGCATGATCCTGTAATGGCAGACACGTGAAGGAGGAGAGCACAAGAGGTCAGTGGTTTGCAAGCCTAGCTCCTTCCCTTCCCTCCCCTCCCCTGCCCGTACTGTGTGTAAACAAAGGGAACTGAAGGCCTTTCTCAAACAGACCCATTCTACCTAAATCTGCATGAAATATCAGGCTTCTCCATATGATGTCACCTGGAAAGAAACTTTAGCTTCTAAATAAAATATTTGGAAGCCACCACCCTACAAGATCAGTATGTGCTGTCCAGTTCTCACGGTCCATAACGTAAGATTCCAGGGCATTGAGACTTGAAGGTTCTCCTGGATTCCACCGTTCTTCCAGGGTTCCATCAGGCTACCTGTGTGGGGGTCTAAGAGGGCCTGACTAGTTTAGGATGCCAGGGACCTGAGTCTGATAGAAAGTACAGGCAAAGACTTAAGGCTCCATCCTAGGCCCCCTAGGCCCCAGAGAGGGCCAGGCCTTTGATTGTCTTCACTCCACTACGACCTCAGCTTCCGTTCTTCCTTTCCAAAAGATCATTTTCCATTTCACAGAAATCATAGACCTTATTAGTCCAGTGAAGTCACCTCCTACATTTTGCTAGGCATGACACATTCCCTTCTACCTCTGGTCCACATAGTCTAAGCGAACAGTTGAAACTATTCAGCTTCCTTCTTCCAGTATTTGGAAACCACCCCCAGGATCTGGTGCCTACTCAGCATATTCCAAGTCCAATTTCAGGGCCCTGCCCATGCTCTCTGCTCTCTATAAAAGGCAGGCATGGTGTCCAGAGCAACCAGAGGAGCAGAGAGGCTGAGACCGATCCAGAAACCTCCAGCTCTCACAACACAAGCTCCCTGCTCCCCGCCGACATGAAGGTCTCTGCAACACTTCTGTGCTTGCTGCTCGCAGCCACCGCCTTCAGCACCCAGGTGCTCTCCCAGCCAGGCAAGGCCCTTGCTTCCTAAAGATTACCACTGAAACTATTGTTACTATCATCCCAGCGTGAGTCATCCCATGCTTGCTGCATAGCCTACATTACAGAGATGGAGAAAGTGAAACCAACAAAGGTGATGAGAAGAGCTGTCACGGTAGTTAACCAGAGGCAGAACCAGGTGCCTGGGTCGCTAAGGCCAGTCCCCATGGTCCTTCCTGACACCAGCTTGGGGAAGAGACACTGAGTGCAACCACTTACCTCAACGACCCTCACATCGTTTGGGGATGTGGGGGCTGTTTCTCATTGTGGATGCGAAGGACATTTCAGGCAGTAGAGCAGAGGGGGAAAAAACTATTGCTTGGGGTTTCAAATTTTGGATTACAGCCAGTGTACCGGTGGCCATGTAAAGAAGAAAACGACCCAGAGGCCTCTCAGCATGTGACACGGTTGGCTTTAGAGCCTGTGGGGACAGAAAGCTGGGAAGCAAGGTCTTAGAGTTTATCTATTTGGTGTCAGAGGTTTTGGGTCAGTAGACCCTCCTAATGACACTACAGGATTGGTGTCATTTCTCCATTCCCAGTCAACAGTGAAGAGCCCCATAGTTCCACAGAGGAAATCGACTCCCAGTCACCATTTTATCTGTGGAATGTGGACTAAGGCACTGGACTTGGGCGTATTCAGTCCTAGTTGGAAATTGTGTGTTTGCTTTGTCTTTTCCTACCTTCACCTGCCCGTGCAAATGCATGCTTATGATGCATTGTAACTCTCCTTCTTTGCAAAATGTTTTTCAGGTTCGGTTTCCATCCCAATTACCTGCTGCTTCAATATGGTCAAAAGGAAGGTCCCCATGCAGAAGCTGGAGAGCTACACGAGGGTCACCAACAGCCAGTGTCCCCAGGAAGCTGTGATGTAAGTGGACTGTGCTCTAGCACCCCCTGCCAAAAGTTCTGAGTTCTATACAAGGGAAAGAGATCAGGATTCATGCCCAAAGGAGTCAGATAAATATACCATCTAATCCAAAGGGACCCTTACCCCATGGAGAAACTGAGCCCGCGGGAGCTTGGTCAGATCATCCAAGTTCCTTCAGCCAGCAGCCTGAAGGCCTCCCCTGGGACAGCACAAGCAGTTTCCTTTTGAGCCCTTCCTCCCATCTTTCCCCTCCCACCTAGCCCCATCCAGCCCCCTTACCCAGAGAGCAAGAGGGTTGGCCCCCTCAGGTATAGGGGCCAACAGGCACCTCAAGGGGTTCCATCTCACTGCCCTCTCTCTCCACAACAGCTTCAAGACCAAAGCATTCAGGGAGATCTGTGCTGACCCCAAGCAGAAGTGGGTCCAGGATAACATGAAGCACCTGGACCAAAAGTCCCAAACCCAGAAGCCTTGAACCTTCGCATCTGGACCAAGAGACAGAAATGAGGAAAATCTTATTTATTTTCCCCCAACTCTCCCCAAGTGCAGAGTGATCTTATTTTATTACAGTGTACAACAAGAGGCACCTTGTATAATAATTTAAGGCACATTTCTCAAATAATATTTAATTATATTTATTAATGTTTTGACTTTATCTGATATAATCCTAGTGGATGTAAAGCACAGAAGCCAGTGGCATGTTATCTTTTCTGGGAGCTCAGTCAAGTTCCTGGCAAGGATGTCATTGTTCTCCCTCCAATGTGTCTATAGTATTGTGAGGTCCTTCCGTGAATCATCAGAGGGAAACATTTCTGTATTCTTATGAATCAGCGCTCCTGTACATCAAACGTCTGCTGTGTAGTGTGGTTGAAATTAATGTTATTTAATGACTATGGAATTTTCAAAGAAAAAATATATATAACTATAAACTACTTGGTCTTATTTTTCATGGGGTCACATTTAGCTGGGAGGCAGAAAATGGCAGCAATGACTGGCAATTTGGGGTCTAGGGGCCATCCTCTAAGAAGTATTTTAGATGCAACTGAGGTTCAGGGTATTCCAGCCCTTTGGCTCCAGCCCCTAACATCACCTCCCCATTTTTTTTCTTCTCACACCTCCCTTTGTCCAGTCTTCCTCGTGCCTCAAACTTTTCTCCATAACCCCAACTGTTATCCATCTCATTAATCCTCAAACCCAGACTACTATCTTAAGAGTAAAACTAGAGGAACCTAGATGTCTACAACCTAGAAACCCTTTTAAGATTTTTTCTTGAGGGGCGCCTGGGTGGCTCAGTTGGTTAAGCAACTGCCTTCGGCTCAGGTCATGATCCTGGAGTCCCGGGATCGAGTCCCACATCGGGCTCCCTGCTCAGCAGGGAGTCTGCTTCTCCCTCTGACCCTCTTCCCTCTTGTGCTGTCTCTTTCTCTCTCTCTCAAATAAATAAATAAATAAATCTTAAAAAAAAAAAAAAGACTTTTTCTTGAAGCATCTTCAACAGGACTGGTCTTGAAGGATGACATGCAATGGGAAATGAAAAGGTTTTTCAGAGCTGGTCCAGGAGGAGAAGCAAGAGCATGGGCAGAGGGAGGAATCCCATCTGGCTGGACTCTGAAAAAAATAAGATGCACTAAAAGTTTTGAAATAGGAGAGAAGGAAAGTGTCATGCAAGGTGCGTGTGAGGAAGAATAAGCTGGTATCTAAGGATGGGGTGGAGTGTGGGAGGGAGAACCTGAGGGCAGGCTGCTGTAATGGTGCAGGGAGGTGAAGCAGGCTGGTGGTGGGGGTGATGTGGGTAGAATGAGCAAGATGGAGTGGTATGTCAAATGTTGGAGAGGGAAAGCATTTGACCCGGGATATAGACCTTCTCTTATAACCTCACAATGCAACTATTTAGAGGGCTGGTGCCCTTGACACACAGAATGAAGTTATCTCCAGCTCCAATCCCCCAAATATGCAAGCATCTGTTTGAAGGCACGGGACCTCCTTTCCTTAATAGCTTCTTAGGGTCGAGAGTCCCTTGTACTGTATGAGCATAGCTGGCTTCATTTTCAGGTATGAGGCCCACCATAGTAAGGCACCAAGACCAGACCCCTCATGGAAGGAAAGAGGACTGTTTTCTTGATGACCCAGCTCTGCAGGGCCTGTCATTGGTGATCGTGTGGAGAGATGCCACAATTTCAGTACACCTCGAAGCACAGCACTTGGGTTCTGGTCCTAGAACTGACCCTGATTCTGTGTCACTTAGGACAAGTCAATGTCAATCTCTTTATCTGGCATTAAGGTGCTACATACGAAAGTGTAGGTTGTACTGTGTCACAGGCAGAAAGCAAGAGGACCTGGCAGATGACCTCACAAGCCCTCTCCAGTTCTAGGAGCCACGTCTCTGGGAAACTTGGCCGTGCCTGTTGGCTAGGGTAGAATGGGGAAGTAAAGCACTTAGATTACAATCATCGAGGCAGCCAGGAGCCCAGCCTATTGGCAAACACCTGCAAGTTAGATATATCGCCTGTCTGAAGACAAGCTTTCCACTAAAGTTCAAGGTAGCATGCCCAAGCCCCGGGAGCTATAAGGCAGCTGGGCATCAGCTGGGTAAGAGGAGCACTTCCGGCCACAAAGTCTCCATCCAGTTCCAAACTCTCTTTCACAGCCTCAGGGACAAGCTGGCTAACCAGGTCTGGGCCCAGGGTTTCATGAAAGAGCTGCACCACGAATCCCCAATTCCAAAGGCATGAAGACTCAGCCTCAACTGACACCCAGGCCACAAGCAAGATACAACCCATTTGTTTTCCCCGAGCTTTGCCCAGGTAGCTGCACTCCGGGATTGTGTCGTTATATTTAACTCACAACGAACTTTGTGCACGACATTAGACATAATTATCTTAAGTGATGTGTCATCTCATTCACGTTACTGATGTTTTACACAGCCTAACTTGAATATCAGTGCTTTGAAAATCCGCCTCCTTATACTGAGTGGTTCATATCTGTGAACCCATTTATTTCCTTGTCAACTAGGGGTGAAGACTGGGAAAGTCACTTGAAGATGGCATGCATCCTCTTGGGCACACCTCTGATTTCACCCTCAGCTCACAGCTCGCTGCAGGCTGTGATTCAGGTCACTCTCTCAACATCTGCTGCCACTGTCCTCCTCACTTCTTGCTTTCCGCCCACAAGCTCCTCTTAAGGTTCCTTCTTAGGTCAAGAGTTGGCTCAGCCTACACAGTTGCCCAAGGCTCAGAAGTGTGTGGGGGAGGGAACACTCTGGGTGACAACCTTCCGACAACATAGGATGGAGGCAGATGTTCAAACACTTCTACCACCCTTCTTTCCAGAGGTTGATTCTGGGAGCCGTTCCATAGGCTTATCAGGTAATCGCAGAAGAATCAGTCCCCATTGCCCACTAAGCTGACCTGAATTATGCATACTTGTGTTGGCTTCTCCTCCTTTTTCATCTCTGCTGCCTACTCAGTCCTGATCCCCTGGGATCATTTCCAAACGAACTATCTGCCCACAGGAACCTTCTCTCAGGCTCTGCTTTATTGAGTCATGGTTTCATACAGTCAATATTTGGTAATGGTTTCATATAGTTGTTCTCCTTCCCTTTGGTCAATGCTTGGATCTCAACAGACAAGTTTACTGGGTCAGGGCCAGGACATGAGCTGGGCATTTAGTTGGCGTGTTCACCAGGGCTGGGGCTAAGACCAGATTCAGGGACTTGCCCAGTGTGTTTTTTGGGACCAGGGCTGGGGCAAGACCATAGACTCAACTAGCATATTTTGTAGGACTGGGTCCAAGAGGGTGACCCCCAAGTCAGGGCCAGCAAGATTGAGACTAAGTTACCCACATAACTAAGAGAATGTTGACATAAGGATTTAGCAAATAAGTAAATGTATTGAAGATAATGTAAGTCAAGTCACTTACTATTAGAGAAGTTTCCATAGACAAAATATAGGAATGTCAGAAGGCTACGGAAAAAAAAACCCAAAACACATGTTGTCTTGACCTGAAATTAGAGGTATTGGTGCAAACTCAAGAATGTACAGGTAGATGATAGATGATAGATAGATAGATAGATAGCTAATAGATAGATAATAGATGACAGATGAAGGGGGTTGGTAGAAATACACACATAGAGGCGGAGCCAGATGGCAGAGGAGTAGGAGACCTGGATTTCGTCTGGTCTCAGGAATTCAGCTGGATAGGGATCAAACCATTCTGAACACCTACGAACTCAACAGGAGATCGAAGAAAAGAATAGCAACAACTCTCTGAACAGAGAAGCGACCACTTACTGGAAGATAGGACGTGCGGAGAAGTGAATCCGAGGCGATATTCGGGAGGATAGACGGCGGGGGAGGGGGCCTCCGTCGGCCACTTCTGGCAAGTGCTAGAGCCGCGGAGCACAAAATCGGAACCTTTAGAAGTCGGCTCCGCTGAGGGACGTCGCTCCAGTGGCTAAGCGGGGGGTGGAAACCTCGCGGGACAGTGTGGTCTCAGGACCCTCGGGGTCACAGAAAGACCAGGGGTGCCTGAGTGCAGCAGAGCTCCCAGGTATCGGAGCGGGAAAGCCGGCTGCAGAGACGGAGCTGAGGTACAGGCTCTCATCTCGGGGTTGCCATAAACTGTGATCTGCGGCACTGTCGGGCCACTGCTCCTCCAGCAGGGACCCAACAAGCGGCAGAGCTGGGGAGATTCCCTTTCCTCTCCCAGGAGGAGTGGCGCGGAAGGGCACCGCAGGGATCTGCTGGGTTTGGAGACTCCGCACGGGGTCGGGTGCCAGAGATAGAAACGCTCGGTCACAGGCCGGGTGAGCACGGAATGCGGCCGGAGACCAGGGAGACGGGAGTGATTACTTTTCTTTGGGGGCACACTGAGGAGCAGGGCCCCAATTCTTAGCTCCTCCGGGTGGAGATTGGGAGGCCGCCATTTTCACTCTCATGCTCCAAAGCTGTACCAAGAGCGTGCAGGGAAAAAAAGCTCCTGACAGCAAACCCAAGCAGCTTGCTTAGCCCGGACCCACAAGGGCGGGGCAATTCCGCCTCCGGCAAAGACATTTGGGAACCACGGCAACAGGCCCCTCCCCCAGAAGATCAGCAAGAACAGCCAGCCAAGACCAAGTTTACCGATCAATTGAGAACGGCAGAACTCCAGCGCTAGGGGAACACTGCACATAGAATTCATGGATTTTTAACCATGATTCATTAGTCTTTCAAAGTTATTTTTTTAACTATTTTTTTATTTTTCTTTTTCCCTTTTTCAACCAACATTTTATCAATCCCTTTTTTAAAAAACAACATTTTTATTTTTCATTTCTAGAGTCATATTCTATCACTTCATAGTAGTTATCCTTATTTTTGGCATATATATATAAGTTGTTCTCTCTTTAAAATTTTGAGATACAGTTTCTTCTAACAGATCAAAATATACCCTAAATCACTAGTGTATGGCTTTGTTCTAGTCTCCTGCCTGATCACATTCTCTCCCTTTTTTTTTCTTTTTCTTTTTAAATCTTCTTCTTTCTTTTTTCAAACAACTTCTTATCTTATCAATTCCTTTTATAAAATCTTTTATAATTTTCATTTTTACACTCATATTCCATCCCTTCATTGTATTAACCCTTATTTTGTACATATATAAGTCTTTTTTCCTTTAAAATTTTAGGAGGCACTTTCTTCTAACAGACCAAAATACACCCAAAATCTATTGTGTGGCACTGATCTATGCACCAGCCTGATCATATTTGATCATATTCTGTTTTTTTTTGTTTTGTTCTGTTTTTGTTTGTTTTTATCTTTTTCTTTTTCTTTTTCTTTTTCTTTCTCTTCCTTTCCCTTTCTTTTCCCCTGGTTTCAGGTCTTTTCTGACTTGTATACAGTATATTTTCTGGGGACATTGT